GCTTCTCCTTGGGGATGTCTTGCAGGAAGTGAGCCTTGCCAGCTGAAGCAGGGAACTGGCTAAGGCAGCTGCACCTTGGTCCAACCATCACAAAGCAAGAGACGTGAGCACTCTAAAGGTGATGTTCACCAAGCCATTTAGCTCTCTGCCCTTCAATGAACCCCACATGTGTTTATCGGCCAGGTTGGCACAATAAACTTTAACTATCTCAATATGGAATGAAAGAATCAGAGCATAGGTAACAGATTGTAGGAATAAATTCATATGAAATTTAAAAACATAGAAATAATCTATTGTATTAGAAGTCAGGTTTGGTATTACTTTTGAGGAGCACACAGGAGGTTTTGAGATTCTGGAAATGTTTTGTTTACTGGTTACACAAGTCTGCTTTCCATGTGGAACAGTAAGCAAAGTTGTGTCATCTACATATTGTAGGTTAATAAGCCTTGCTCCAATCCAAATACTGTATTCTTCTTTATATAGTAGAGTTTCTTTGATTAAATGCTCAGCATAAAGAGTGAATAAATCTGATTAGCGGATATAACTTTGACACACCTATCCTGATTTTAGACTATGCACTATTCCCTGGTTCTGCTTGCACAGATGCCTTCTTTATTGGTGCAAAAGTTCTACGTGAACATAATTTGGTGTTCTGGAATTCTCATTATTCTCAAGGCTATTCATGGTTTGTTATGATCCACATAATTGGATGTCTTTGCAGAGGTAATAAAAGACAAGTAACCACCTTTCTGGTGTTCTCTGTTTTCAGCTAAAATCCCCCTGATATCAGTAATGGTATCCCTTTTCTCCACATCATCTTCTGAATCCAGCCTAAATTTCTGGCAGCTCCATGCCAGTGTACTGCTGAAACCATTGCTGGGCGATCTTCAGCAACATTTTTCTTGCAAGTGATAAATTATATTTTTCTCTGATTTGAGTATTCTATTGGGTTGCCTTTCTTTGGAATGGGTACAAATATGGATCTCTTCTAGTTAGTTGGCTGCCCTCCAAATTGCAAAGACAAGAAAGTGCTTCCAGTGCTTCAACAGGTAGTTGAAACATTTCAATTGGTATTTCATCATTTCCTGGAGTCTGATTTTTGGCTCATGTCTTCAGTGCATCTTGAACTTTCCTTCAGTACTGCTGGTTCTTGCTCATATGCTACCTCTTGAAATGGTTGAATGTTGACTAGTTATTTTTGATATAGTGACTCTGTATTCATTGCATCTACTTTTGGTGTTTTCTGAATCATTCAATATTTTGCCCCTAGAATCTTTTAATATTGCAATTCAAGGCTTGACTATTTTCTTTAGTTGTTTCCATTGACTGAGCATAAACTGGTTTTCTAATTCTAACTCCTCATTTCACTACAGCATTTTACTTTGTTTTCTTGAGCTGCCTTTGAAATTTCTGTTCATTTCTTCCATTTGCCTTAGCTATTCTTTTCTGACATCCATTTTGTTCTTTTCTTTCTTTTCTTGATTTTTAATGGCCTTTGGTTTTACATCCTCCAACAGCGCACCAAATCTTCTGTCACTAGTGTTCCGTATATCAAATCTGTTATTGAGCTGTCCCCAAATTCCAGGTGGGATATAGTTAGGGTTGTGTTTCCGCTACTATGAACTTGTTTTTAATTGGCTCAGCTTACACCTGAATTTACATATTAACAATGGTCTTTTCCATTGTTGGCAACTGGCTTTTTCTTAGTTGCTGGCTTTATTTTATTTAGATCTCTACACTTTCTTCCCTGGAGCCCGGGTGACCTAAATAGAGGTTATGCAATGGGGTGCTAACTGCAATTTCGGCAGTTTCTTCTCCTGTAAAGAGTAACCATTTCAGAAGCTCAGAGGGGATGTTCTACTCTCAATGGCAGAGAGACAGTGAATGAGTGAGTAATTTAGTGAGTGAGTGAGTGAACTGGATTATTTGCTGATAATTTACTGATTATTATATCAGTATAAAGGCTGAATAAATATAGTTAGAGGATACAACTCTGATGCACAACTTTCCTGATTTAAAATCACTTTTTTTTTCTGATTGAATGCTGTCTCCTGTTTTATGTTCAGGTTTCCAGGGGAGCTCAGTGAAGTGTTCTGGAATTTTCATTCTCTCCACATTATCCATAATGTGTCACAGGGAAATACATTTGCTTCATCAATAAGACACAAGTAAATATCTTTTCGGTTTTCTGTGTTTTCAGCCAATATCCATTTGATATCAGCAATGATATCTCTTGCTCCCCATTCTCTTCTGAATCTGGTTTTAATTTCTGGTAGCTTCCTATCAATGTACTGGTGCAACCACTATTAGGTAATCATCAGCAAACTTGCACTTGCATGTGATGTCGATGATATTGTTAGATGACTTCTGCATTCTGTTGGGTCACCTTTCTCTGGAAGGGATACAAATATGGATCTCTTCTGCTTGGTTGACAAGCTAGCCTTATTCCAAATTTCTAGGCATAGGTGAATGAGTGGTTACAGTGCTTAATCAGCTTGTTTAAACATTTTAATCAACATTTTATCAATTCCTGCATTTGATTTTCCTATTATGTTTTAGTTATGGCACTCCTTAATAAAGTTTATCAAATGTTACCAAAAAAAAAGTTCTTACACTTTCACTTGCCCAAAGTTACTTGACTTGTTAAACATTGCTAAGCTTCTGCCTGCAACAAGTTGTCATTTCTAATTTATTGACATTGTTAAATATGTCTTAAGATTATAAAGCATACCTACTGCTGTTGAGTCTATGATAACTCCTTGTAATCTTATAGGCTAGAGTGGAATCACTCCATAGGATTTAAGGGATGAAAATCTTTAATCAATTTCATCTTTATACTCTGCAGAGCAGTTGGTGAGTTCAAATTTGGTGAGTTCAAACCACCAATCTTTTGGTTAGCAGACCAATGCCTATTGTACTCTATCATTAGGGCTCCTTTTATAAAGCTCATGCTTCCCAAAAGTTACTTGTAGTTTTTAGAGTGAATGGCTTGGCGGTGTAGTAGTTATGCATTGGCCTGAGATCTTCATGGTCAGCAGTTCAAAACCGCTATCAGCTCCATGGTAGAAGGCCTGGGCTTTCTACTCTGTCAATACAGTCTCAGTAACCCACAGGGGGTTGCAATGAGTCGGCCATGACTTGATGGCAGTGAGTTTGGTTTGGTTTTGGCTTTCAAAATATATTACAGTGAACCCTCGCCACTTTGCGCTTCGACTTCCGCGGCGTCACTCTATCGCGGTTTTTGTGTAACAGCACATGCTTTGTCATTACTGCCACTGATTGGCTCATACTGTACATGCGTCTGTCTGCATTGCTACGTATCGGAGCTACGTATCAGATGCATTTTTGCTTTTGTACAGTGTACTGTAATTGTTTGCGATTTTTAAGAAAATTTATCTAAGCCCTATGATGGCTCCTAAACGAGCTGCTTCTTCTAAGCCTTCTGACAATAAAAATAAACGCCAGAGGAAGATGCTCACCATCCAGGAAAAGGTAAAACTTTTTGTATTTTCCCTTTTTCGTTTAATAAATTGGGTAATACGAGTGTAATGGTGACTAAAGGGTGTTTTTTCATGTCCTCTATGCTCTAACTACAAAAATATTTGATTTACAAATAAGGAATCCTACTTCGCGGAATTTCATTTATCACGGTAGGGTCTAGAACCGATTAACCGCGATAAACGAGGGTTCACTGTACTTCTCACTTTTGTATCCGATGGTATTATTTATATTGCAGAAGATTTTAATATGTCCTCTGCTGATCTTCCTCTGTTTACCTTTTTCTCCTTCCACCCCTCCCTATCCTTTCTTTATGATTCATTAACTTATAACCTTGCTTCAGATGTTGTATGTGCCTAAAAGTAGTCTCTAAATGTTTTCTTGAAAAGTGTTAAAAGCCTCTCCATTGACTTTTAGCTGAAAAGCTACCTGATGTCGTAGCTAGGTGCTGTCAGGTCGGTTCTGACTCATGGACACCTATGTACCACAGAACGAAACCCTACCTGCTCCTGAGCCATCCTCACAATTGTCCTCGGCTGAGCCCCTGCTGCTGCCACGGTGTCAGTCAATCGTGTCAAGGGCCGTTCTCTTTTTCACGGCCCCTCTACTTTACCAAGCCTGATGTCCTTCTCCAGGGACTGGTCTCTCCTGACATGTCCAAAGCCCATGAGAAGTCTTGCCACCCTTTACTCAAAGGAGCATTCTGAGTGAGATTCTTTCAAGACAGATTTGTTTGTCCTTTTGGAAGTCCTTGGCACTTTCAACAGGCTTCTCTCACACAATTCAAATGTCTCCATTCTTCTTTGGTCTTCTTTATTTGATGTTCAACTTTCACAGGTATGAAGTCATTGAACGGATCAGGTATTCCTCTTTGGAATGGGCTTGACTGCATACGGAACTGGAGAACCAATTGGACAAAGCAGCGAATAGTGTCTATACGTACCCATTTCCTGTCGGGTGCTGCACACGCCACAGCCATATTCCTCTAAAACATCCTTTACTGTCCTCATAGATTCATCGTACTTGGCTGCGAGGCCAAGGAAGTTATAGGAGCCCATGTTAATGACATCTTTGATGATTCGCCCAGTAAGCCTGCAGAGTTATAGACAAGTGAGTACAAAAGGCCTTCCATTTAATATTCTACAAACAAAGACAAACCAACCCATTGCTGTAGAATAAATTCCAACCCATGTGAGCCCATGTGTTACAGAATAGAACTATGGTCTAAGGGGTTTTTAAGCTTGTGACCTTCTGGAAACAGATATCCAGGCCTTGATTGTATGGGAACTCGGGATGGATTCACATCACATTTCAGCCAGCAGACACGTGTTGAACATATGTAACCATTGACAACACTCAGAGCCTGTAAAAGATGGTCACAAAGAGACTCTGGATCTGATCTAAATTATATATTTATATAGAGAGAATTCTCGGTTTCCCTCCCACTTCCCCCCTTCCACTCTTCCTTCCTACCCCCTCTCCCTTTTTTAAAACTTGCACGGTTGTCACCATAACATGACTTAAGTTAGGGAATAATAAGCCTTGCTGGAGCTTGGTAGAATACTGGAGAAATGATAGGATAGTCTATCAAGTCTAATGTAGCCCTGATTTTCTTTGCGGGCTTGACTTCAGGACACTTGCTATCTGGTTTTAATTTGAGCAAATTCTCTGAGTCAATGCAAGAGCATCTCTTTCCCTCAGCGAGACGTACGAGGGCTCAGTTTGTCAATAACACACAAAAGACCCTTCCTGGATGACTCGCTTTCCAGGCTCTGCCTCTGCTGTCATACATCCAGCTTTCACCACAATGTAAACACACACCCTTGGCAACTTAATTATCGTGACATCTTGCATTCACATTCGCTTACAGAGCTGAATGTTGGAAGACCATGTCCTCAGTTTCTTCAGATCTAAAATCTGGAGCCCTTGCTAGTATTTCCTTGAAAACAACTTTCTTTCAGCGATCCCCTCCAAGTGACTTCCTCACCGAAATGTCCAGTTGTAGTCATCTGATACCCTCTCCATTATATCGAACTGTGGCCCAGGGGCGCTGCATACTGGCCGGTTCCAGTTGTCTCTGATTCGCATATAAAGGTTCCGGATGTAAAAATTCTCAAAGTCTTGATAGAGCGGCACAAAATCCTGTTAGGACAGAGGCAGAATTTTAGCTTTATTTTCTCCCTCTCTCTCTTTTTTTAATCCCCTATACTTCATTCACAGTGAGAAGTTGGGAAAAGAGCATACAAACAATCCATCATCAGATAATTTTGATCAGTCAATAAGCAGACAGGTAGGGTACAAAAATATATCTTCTAAGAATTTACTCTTTAGTGGAGGTGAAAAATGAACTAAACCAAGCTAACAAAGATGACAGAATAATAAAAGATGAGTCCCAAAACAAGTGATAGAGACTGTGACTCACTGTAGCATTATGAAGAAGTGACAAATCTGTCCAAAGGGGTTAGAACAGGTGGCTATGTAAAAAGCAGTTTAGGAAAAAAAATGTGTTTGAGATAGTAATTTAGTCTTCTCTTTTTAAAACATGTATATTCCCACTCACTATGTTTTCAGAAGTGTGAATGAACTTGAATGGTCGGACTTGCTGACAAAGCCGGGTTGGCAGGTGCCTGTTCCAGATAACTGAAATCTTGGACACCAAGCTGTGGCACGTGTGGAGGGAGCTAGCTTCTTCTGAAGAATAAGGTAGCAGCATGGTGCTATTGTACAAAATGCAAACCATGTCTCTAAGGATTCTTAATCTAACTGAGGGCAAAGAAAATCTGGAATTTGGTTTAAGCTTATTCCTTGGACATCCATAGGATAAGAGTAGGAGGAAGGGTACATATTTTAGGAGGAATGTTACTTTACTACCTCATATAAGGTGGAAAATGACAAAAGCCACAATTTTGACCTAAATCAAATACTTTGACCATCAATAGGATTACAACAAAAGGAAAATCCAATTCTGGTTGGTGGAATCAGAATGGCTCTATGTCAGGTGGATCTCTGGAGTTAGGCACTGAAAGCATAATAAGATTGTTATGGCAACATATGCTTGGATAGGTACGTAACTCAGCATGAATAAGGCCAATAGGCTGGAAATGTGGAGTGTGTTTGAGAAGAACACAAAGGGATAAAACAAGGCCTATCCTGTCACCCTTTGTTCAGAATGTACCTGAGTTCCCATCTGAGTCAAAGTCAAGTTCTCTAACAAGGCCTTACATGGTTTCTCTGTTTCCTCTATGATTGCATCCCCTTAATTCCCTGACTGAATGTGAGACTAGGAGTGTATGCTAGGCACCGATGGTGGGAGCCTTAAATATCTTTATGGAGACAGCAGACATCATTCTGGATGCAGGAGGAGCCACTGATTTGAATGGGCTTTCAGAATCTCCCACTTGTCCTCTTTAAGTTCTTAGCACTCAGTCTCCTGAGAGAACGAAGTGGACTTGCTGGGGGGAATGAGGAATGTAGTAAGGAAAAGCTTTCTGTTAGACCTTACAGGAAGCTTACAGATTTGTCTCACTTATTCCCGGAGCTAGTTTATTTCAGCTATAGGATTTGTAGGTTTGGGCAATTAATGATAATATCCAAGTCACAGCCTTTTCTTCCACGACATGCTTTGATCCTTAGTTACTGGACCTGTCATTTATAGTGGGTGTTATAATTGTTTGTAGAACAGTATGCATATTTTCACATGCTCTTGCTGTGTGCCTAGTGTTGATACTGACTCACATCAACCCTATAGGACAGAATAGACACTGACACTGTCACATAGATTTCCAAGGATATACATCTGGGATATTTGTTTCTCTGTGGAGTGGTTAGTGGATTTTAACTTGCCAGCTTTGGGTTAGCAGCCTGATGCTCCATGAGTGGGCCACTATAACCACATACCAAAATGAAAAGAAACCCACTGCCAGTAAGCTGATTCTGATTCCTCGTGATCATATGTAGAGTTTCCAAGACTATAACTCTTTATGGGAGCAGACAACCCCTTATTTCTCCTGTGGAGTGGCTGGTGGGCTTGAGCTGCCAACTGTGCGGTTTGGTAAGTCCCTGACTCACAGCCAGCAGGCTCTTCAACCACCCACTAAGGAACATTTAGAAGATGACTGATCAACACTGCTACGTACCTGTAGAAGTTGAAGTCTCATACTATACATATTTGCTCTCAAATAGCTAAATGATGTAATGTTTTATTATGACTTAAAATTGCAAGCAATTATATACCCTTTCATTGTTTCACAGAGAAATGAATATACTTGAATTTTGAGAGACACAGAGATTGAGTCAATCCTGAGAAAACTTTCCCAAGTGATTTTTCCTTTGATTCAATATTTTTGTTTTAGACTATTTACTGAGTTTCTGATTACTCCCGATATCAAAATGTTATTTATGTTCCTCTTAGTCTAATTCTTTAAAGCACTGGTTCTCAACCTTTGGGTGGCGACCTCTTTGGGGGGTCGGACAACCCTTTCGCAGAGGTTGCCCGCTTCATAACAGTAGAAAAATTAGAGTTGTGAAGTAGCAACAAAAGCAATTTTATGGTTGTGGGGGTCACCACAACATGAGGAACTGTATTAAAGGGCTGCGGCATTAGGAAGGTTGAGAACCAATGCTTTAAAGCAACACTGAAATGACAGTAAAAAATCATTCCTATCAGGAGAAAAGAGGTAAGCATGTCTGTAAGTAACATCTGTTGATACTGAATGGGTGCATGGTTTTAGGCTCAATGAGAAATTTTGCCTAAAATAAAGTAAAGGTTCATTTAGGAGAGAACTGAACCAGAATATACTGTCTAAACTATCAAACTTGATTTCCCAGACAGAAACGCAACTTGTCAACACATCAAAGGAAGTGACTACACAGAGTCCATTGGACATGCGAAGACAAGTGAACATAGAAAGGTAAATAATTGGAATGTTGGTCAGTCTTGTTCCTAATCCATTCTTCTTAATGGCTACTTCACATAGGTACTGGGCTTACACCTGCATGACTTTTCCCAGCTTCCCTCTAAAGCACCAGGGATGACAATGAACATGGGCCATAACATGGCCAACTAAGAGCTACAGGTAGCCAAAGTGTAGGATGAGAGTCCAGTAACCACAAAGTTCTTGGTGTTAACTTGAGAGAAACAACCTGGGGCTTGCCACCTGAGAGAAAGCAGGAAGACACTTGATCTTGCTCAGTCTTTCTGCCTTTGGCTCCGTGACTCACCTTTTTTTAATCTATGAGGAAATGGGAAACTAGCTCGTACTTGGCATAAATGAAATGAGGGCAAGAAATAGGGATTCTGACCTACTTTGCAGGGTAAGAAAGGGCATCTTGGTAAGGAATGAACTTCACATTCCAAAGATATTTTATAAATATGCTACCAACACTCCCTTGCAAAGAGGAGGGACGAATTTTATAACCACACAGAATAATTTCTTTGTGGGTGAAGTATGTTCTAACACAGATTAGAAACACTAGTTCAGCAGCCTAAGTGTTCTTGAGAGAGAGAACAAGCTTAGAAACCTACTTAGAATTCAAGAACTGGTCCTGGAAGGACCTGACTTGCTTTTAGAGCATCTTCCTCTTTTTTCTTCCCACCTGTGAGGTTTCCTGCCTCTGCATGGGTGTATGCTTACTCCACCCCATTCCTTTGAGCATCGGGGAGGCTTCTTTAGGAGCACACCTTACAAAGGTTAATGCCCTCTAGTCTCAGGCAAGTCGCCCACATCACTTTAACTGCAGCAGAAAATGAAATTGGACTTGATGTTGCGAAAACAGAAGTGTTGCAAAAATATTTGTCCATCTGTAGATTTAATTTATTACTTGGCTTACTTGTTACCTTCCTGAGACAATGGAGACATACAATAACTAAACCTGGCTTAGTCAGATGAGAACTTTTTTTTTTGGTTATACTGTAAGGGAGGGATTACGTAAGTGAAATTTAAGTTTTAACAATAAAAATAGCTTAGTTTCCTCTGCATTTGTGCCAATCATTCCACAGTGTGATCATTTTTAAGTCTCCTTTCAATTTATATTTCAAAGTATTATAGATGGTTCTGCCAAGTTTCACAGAAAAGCCAGAAAATTTGAGCGGATAAATTGGGAACTGTGCCCAATTTCTAAGCCAACGCTCTTTTCCAAGATGAGAAAAGAGCTTGGTGTGTACAAAGAAATGAAGAGAATATCCATGGCTTATAATAAAATAGTTATTAAATTTGGAGGCATATACACTTATTTGATTTACCATTATGCCTATACAGCGTAGAGAGAATCATTACAGAGAGCCAGTCATTGATCTGTGCCTATAGTAGCACAGTTATTCTCAACTACTGTTTCATATTGTATCATTATTTTATTTTGAGAAACGGCTGCTTCTCTTACTTGCATTCCAAAAATCCGCTGCCATTGAGTTGATTCAAACTCACAGTCATCCTATGTAGGGTTTTTTGAGACTGCAAGTTTTATCAAAGTTTCCTCAGTAATGACCAATTATGTTTGTGTTTGTGATTTCTTTATGTTGGTAAAGGTAACTGTAATTTATATAGTAGTTTGAAGTATGAAAAACAAAGAAAAATTGACTAAACTTAACAAAAAAATAGAAGTGGGGATCTAATTTTTTGTCTAACCCCGCCCCAGGAAGCCCCCCCACAATAAAACAATATTTTAAAAAAGAAATTATAAAGGAATTGTGTGAAGAAGGTATACTGTGTATTATGTGAATCCTACTACACATTTTAAAATTGTGTGAAATGGCAAAAAAAACATTTTTATTGAAAAACAAAATAAAATTTAAAATGTCTAGAAAAGCCATCAAGAGTATCATCAATGAGTCAGGAATATCAAGAATCACAAATTGCATAGATAAGATCAATTAAGGAAGAATTAAGATGATAGGAAACCTTAATACAAGATACTTTCAGAGAGAGAAATGATGTAGACCTCAACTGACATCAAGGGGACTTTGAGCTGACAATCAAAATCCACAAGGAACCCATAGTGATGTCCAAGATCTGGAAAGACAAACCCACTCACCCTTCTTCTTTTGAGTTAATAAGAAGAAGTCATATTGTCCATGGGAGAAAGAATAATGGTTAACAGCAGTATTTGAAAGAAAGCCATACCCCAATATAAAATGATGGGGACAC